AAGGGAGGACATCTGTAATACTTTCAACAATAAAGATACTTCTTTTTTTTTTTAAAGCTTCCATTCTAGGATAACAGTTTTTACATTCATGGCTGCCTAATCTCTTCAGTCATAGTTTTCAGCTCCTAGAAAACCTTCCCAAAATGTGCTCCTTAACCATCTTTCCTATTTAGAAGGCCACTTTATAACCTGTACTTGTCTAATCCTCCCCCATGTTCAAATTCCTTCCTGAGTTCAAATTCCAGCTCTTCCACTTACTAGTTGTGTGACCTTGGGAAAATGTACTCAACTCCCTTTGTTTCCATTTCCTCATTTGTAAAATGGAAATAATACCAACTTCATGGGGTGCTTATGAGAATTAATACGGTGATATAGGTAAAGTGCCTGAGCTCAGTCCTTGGCATACACTTAACTACTCAGTATTTGCTTTTGTCTCTTGTATGAACTAGCTACAATTAACTGACAATTGTAATACTATTTTCCTATTTCTCAGCTTTATTGCTCTATTTTATTTGATATTGAAGGATGAAAGATAAATGCTTACCATCACCTAGAATTGGGTTTTGGCCTTCAACAGAAACCGAGGCTTATCTAGGTTATTAGCTTTAGAAGCTGGCCTATAAATTACTGCTCTAATTTATATTTTTCATTAAAAGCTCAGCTTGCCCCTTCTTCTATAGCAGTCTTCTCTGCCCCTAAAACCCTAGTGTTTCGCCATTAAAAATATATATATATACACACATATATATATTATAAATTAAGGGGTCATAATTCTCTCCACTTCCCACAAAGTGTTGATTAATGGGATTAATGATAAGGCGGTACACAAAATATATTCTTACCTTTAACAAAATAAAAGCAAAGGCCTGGCTTTGCTTCTCACCTTTGAAATACAAATCAGGGGAATACTGTAATGAGGTGTAGTGTATTTGTTTATGCATGTGTAGAACTTTACAAAAAATAAACAAACATTGGTTTGGGTATCAGGAAATCTGGGTCTTAGTACCTTCAAAACGATGCTGTGACTCTTAACCCTCTGGACATTTGCTTTATGCCTTGCAGTGTTGAGCTTTAGATAAGTAAAGCACCTAGCATCATACCTGGCATCCAGAACCGTCCCCCAAACGGTAGGTAGGTATATATAGCTCTCTAAACACGTAGCCCATTAGGATAATGAAAATGGGAAAGTGCCGCAGTGAGACGGGGCAAGCACATCTTTACACCTCCCATCGAGAGAAAGGCGTAGAAATACTCGCCTGCGGCAAAGACTACATCTCCCGCCGGGCTTTGCGGCTTGGTCGGTTCGCCTTACCCAGAGTCGCTCCATCCTCTGCGGCGCGTCTTTCCGCTGACGTCCCGGATGTAGATGGGACTCTTCAGCTCTATGGGCTTGGCCTCCCGGGGGCGCTAAGACTTGGGGCTCTCTTATTGGTTGTGGATTGGATGCGGACGGGAGGGGGGCGTTGACCAAGGCGCACGGCAGTCAGGCTACAGCCAATCAGAAGTTTAACTGGACTTTGGCGGGAGGCCGGAACGCTACCGCTGTGCACATTTGGCGCGAGTGCGTTCTGGGGTTTGCTGCTGCAGGTTTGTTCAGGAACTTGTGAAGAATCCCTGAAGCTTTGTGCGACAGAGGTGAGAAAGATCCGGCATTGAAGTGACGCAGCCCTGTGGGGTGGAGAGGGGAGGATTGCTCCGGGAGGTCTGGGGTCAGAGAAGTAGCGGGTTTGGGTGACAAAACCCGTGGGGTTTGATGACGCCCGAGATGAAGTGAGGGGAGAAGAGTTCAGATCGCGGGAGATCAGGTCGGGTAAGGGAAGGGAGATGTGCGCTCTCGGAGTAGTCTGGCAGTTGTGCGTAGGTCAAGGTGCTGAATGTTGTAGGAGGGAGGTATTCCGAGGTGGGGTTGAGAGTTGTGTCGAGTGGGGACTGAGTGCCGAGTGAGACCGGGGGGTGGGGAGTGGGGGGAGACGGTAAATGTGGAAGGTTGCTGGGCGAAGCTGGTGATAAAGATATACTCCGTACCCGGGGTGAGGGATTAGACGTGCTCTAGAAATCATTAAAGATAAACTGATTGCATCGCTCAAGCAGGTAAGAACTTGGAGCCACAGTGCCTGGTTTGCTGTGACTTTGGGCCTCTGTGCCTCTCAGTTTTCTCATTTTCAAGATCATTTTAATAATAGTACCTATCTCCAAGGTACTTGTACAACCTAGATGAGGCATTAACTAAAACAGCTTCTTACACATAGTTGGTAGACAAGTGTTCGCTATTATTGCATAGATTTGGATGGGAAGCAGAACTGAACGCTAAAACAGTTATAACATAATTTACTTATGAAACAAGTGTTGATCATCGGCATAAATTGCATGTTAGTTATTTCTCCTTCAGTTTTACATTTTAACTGGCTTTCCTTTTCTCTTTTTTGTGCCCAGCTGTGTTGCCATCATGCCTCAAACCCGATCCCAGTCGCAGGCTACAATCAGTTTTCCGAAAAAGAAGCTGTCTCCGACATTAGACAAAGCTAAAAACTCTAGTGACACCAAATTAGAACTGACAAATGTCAAGGCCGTATCCCGTACTCCTTGTGTAAAAAGTCTGCCTCTCAGCCCCAGAAAACGTCTGGGTAAGCTATCCATTATATAAGTACTTTTTTGACTGGTAGCTCCTGACCTCTCTTTATTCAGTAATACAGATGCCTAGTCCTTTGAAGCAGGTAAGTTTTGTGAAGACCACTCTATTATTTTGGGGATGGTTGCTAACTTCTCACTGAATTTCAGTTAAGATCACTTTCTGAAGTATTTAATATGTCTGATCTTTATTTTCTTAACTGAACTTAGTTCTATCGGTATTTTAAATGACCTTGCATGCATAGCCCACAGACACAGACAATAGTGTGGTGAAGGCCTGGGGTGGGGCAGGGACTGGGTGGAGGAGGGAGGGGGGATATAGCGGACATCTGTACTACTGCCAACAATAAAAAGTAAACTTCAAAAAACATGACCTTGCAGTTAGTTGTACTGTATAATATTTTGAAACTTGCCTTAATAGTGGTGAAATTAAGAGACACAGGTGACATTCTCGTTTTAGAACAGTCGCTGGTAATCCTTTCTTGTTTTAGATAATTTGTTTTTAATGAGGGATGATTGGGCAGTATCTGGAGACATTTTTGGTTGTTGAAACTGACAGGCATATGCTACTGGCATAGTGGATAAAAACCAGGGATGCTGCTAAACATTCTACAACAAACAGAGGACCCCCCTCCCCCAAATGAAGAATTACTTGGTCCAAAATATCAGTGGTGCCAAGGTTGAGAAACCCTATTAGAAC